GTTGATTTGTGAGACTGTAGAGTAAGTACGTTTCTGAAGATGAGTAGTCCTCAGAGAAATTTGGAGGGGGGGGGGGTGTCCAAAAAAAAGGCNAGAAATTTGGGGGGGGGGGTTGTCAAACAACAGGACCATCAGCCATTCCAAATAGTGTTTGGTATGGTATATATCCAGAAAAAAGAATGAATTGGCCACGACCGTAGTTGGCTGCTGAATGATGTTCACGTGCCCACTCAAGATGGTTGATTCTCGAGCGTTCGATCTCTACTCAGCTTACTATAGTTTGTATACGCATACTGATGGCAAATCATTTGCCAACACGTGTGATATATATGCATAAGGGACAGAAAAGAAGACCACAAATGAAATGAAAACTGTCATCTCTTAGGCTCGCTGTTCCACTACAAATGCCGATAAACGTGGGCTGCGGCATCTTGTGTTTCAAACATGTAGCAGGAACGTGAATAGGGATAAAGCAACTTAGTGTAAGCAGCTTTCGTTGCTTACACACTTCGCAGCAGTTCGGTAGCACATAACATAACACTGAAATTAAGTAGAACCGAGAAATTGCTCGGTGATAATAACAAATTACATACTCTGTTGTCTAATGGTAACATCCTCCTTGAGGAGCCGGGATACAGGGACATCGACGGTACTTAGATTACGCCCAAGACAAAAAATATCACTAACTTGTGACGCATGCACTCTTAGCTTCATGTCCCAGAGTCAGACGCTACAGGTTACCGACAGAAAGGAGCTTGATTCCGTAATCATCGACAAAAAGGATCACTCGGTGTGTTCACGAGTGAATGGTCAGTGAATCAGTGGCAAGAACAAGGCAAATCACTAATACACCACAATTGAAGATCAAGAGAGTTAAACCAAAGAATTAGGTACATATGGCGTTTTCCGAAGCGTTCTGCAGCCTAGCTGGATTGTCCATCTCAGATGCCACAATTAAATATCAGCGCGGCATTCGACCACCACGGATGATTATACGTCGTAGCAAACATCTCTGATATGAGTGTCTCAAATCCGCCAGTTCATATATGACATTCTTTTGTGCTTGAGACATCGGCATGCATCTTGTTAATCCATACATCTCACACAAGATGTCGTAATGAACATGTAGTCTACAAATCTCTTTCATGAGCACCCGTGAGTGTCTGAACGTGATTATTTATGTCGATTATCCAATACACTTGTGATACAGTAGCCAAGAGAGCCACGGGGAACAAGCTTCGTCTAGTACTTTCATCTTTATTATAAATCTTCCTCTCGATTATTAGAGCAGTGAAGTCCGGGTCACAGAGCCAGCATCGCCCAAATAAGACCACTGCAATACGGTCCCGTAAGATTTGATCGAGAATAGATATTTTTTTGGGAGACCAACTCAACTTCCAACAAAGAATAACCTGAGGATCCTCTGAGGGCGAATTCCTTCGAAAGAAGATCAGGATTCAAAGCTGGTCACGGAGTTATTCTCACGTTACGTGCACACCTAATCAACCAGCTCACGGAACTCAGAAAATGATTTTTACCGGCACAGAATTATACTTGCTATCTCCCTGACCAAAAGTAAATCGGGGCTTCTGGGGACCAACCACATGCAATCACTTTTAAGTCTCGCCTCTTAAGAGCACTGGACCTAGTGTCAACATATGCGGTACCCTGGGAATGCATTTGAAGTGCCTCGATTCAGGCGACTCCCACAGGTTCTGTCAGTGTGGAGATTCCGCTACCGCCTAGGATTCCCGAGAAATCTATTCATAATATTACAAACCACTTTGTCTCCTAAAGAGGACACTAGCAAATTGCTTTCCATCGGAAGGCATCTCTTTAGACTGTTCCCACTGGAAAGACTGAATCAAGAAATTACCGACTGGTTTCATCGCACCGGCACTTTACAACAGTTAGCGCCCGCTGTACAATCCACTCTCAGAACAGAATTGTTTCGGTGGATTCTAGAAGCATACCGAGGCCTTTCACACAAGAAACCACTTTAAGGATGTCTAGAAAAGCGCTTCGAGGAGCCCTGCCAGACTGTCATCTACTGGTGACCGTCTATCCAGATTTGTGTTTCATTGCGACGGACAGATAGTTTCCAGGACGGATCAGGCATTGAAACATAAGGTTGACGAGAACTCGGGGACCGCGCCTGCCTGATGAGCCCCAAGAAGGAAAGCGGTCGTAGGCTATCGAAGGGCATTCTGCAAACTTGTGAGTAGTTTCCTCAATAAAAATATACTGCAATGTCTCAAATTTCTTAAAAAATGAAACAAGATGCGACGTCGGTGCAACACACTCCCCCTGTCTGAGGTAGCGTAGACCCCGCAAGCTGAGATAACCAATCCAAGTGGAACAGCACTTTTGTTGAAAGCTTACTCTTGAGCTGTTGTGCATGGGAAAATTGCTGTGATTGGGGACGGCATGAAGTCTGTTGTCGTAGGCTATCGAAGGGCATTCTGCAAACTTGTGAGTAGTTTCCTCAATAAAAATATACTGCAATGTCTCAAATTTCTTAAAAAATGAAACAAGATGCGACGTCGGTGCAACACACTCCCCCTGTCTGAGGTAGCGTAGACCCCGCAAGCTGAGATAACCAATCCAAGTGGGACGTTCTCCTGCAGACACCCAGCGACCGGCTTCACCATGCCTGAGGCTCATCAGTTTGGCGTAAGCTCCGGAAACTGCGTATTCGTCCCGTTCGGTTTACTGGATATCGGCGCAGCAGAACATAGAAGTAGCATATTATGCGCAAGACCACTAATGTGTTAATGACCATGAGGGCTCCATCAAGCCTCCGGTTTAATCGATTACGTTGAAAAATGAACACAAAGGTATCACAAATGACACAAGTACGGCGAACACTATAGCCCAACGAAATCATGAAAGCTGGATTCCATTCCTTCGGAAGTCACATGGCCAGTTCGATCAACCGGTTTTCTAGCCTTTATACTTGAACACATCCGTTCGATATGAATTTAAACTCTCCGGCGGCACGCCCTGCTTATATTTACTAGACTTATGGAACAGTCAACCAGTAAAACAGTGGGAGTTCTTTTAGAGCCCAATATCTACTACCCATGCTGGAAACGCACACGCGTATATAATGGACACAGAGATCACATTTTTAGGGAAAAACAAGGATTCCATCGGACTTTCAAAATAAACATGCAACCGCCACACGAAGCCATACATTCCTATGAGCGGTGGCATCCTTGACCTTTTCGTCTGGGCTGTGTTGTCGTGTCTGACTCCTATATTCCCACCTGCATATTTATAACTGATTTCAGAACTCATTACATTACCCATTCAAGGACAGCACAAATAGTGCATGAGACGGTATGAGCATTGAATCGACGACTGTGCACATGATCTTCGAGTCATTCACCTTTGAGACACGAACGTGGTTGACTAGCACCTGTGTTCCAGCCAATGCAATGAACAGTTTGCAACGGTTAAATGGGAGATCGCGCAAAGCAGAAAGTCAGGCTAAAACAGGCCTGTGCTTGGCTTAATGGTAGCCCAACCACATAGACAAGTCCTTCGGATGTACGCAGGACAGAACGGTGCTGAAGTGAACATTGGGATATTTGACGACTGTTTTGTGAAAGCTCAAACAAACCCTCACCACTCAATCGCATGTCTTATGATCGTCAGAATACGCCACCCTGCACCAAGCAGTCAATTTCAGCTTTCTCGAAGTAGTGCAACAAGCGGCTGTATCTGGCTTGTCCACTGCACTAAATATGGTCATAAGTAGCTTATTTCGATCAATCGAAATTAATTAATAGGTTATCAACAATTACTCTTTAACGGTACTTGAGAATTGCCAGGTGAATGGAGCCTGGTCGAGGATATACGGTCGTCTCACTTGAAAACCTGACCTGAGACAACAGTAACGAGTGGACTAGTAAAAGAACTGAGTCTCAGTCACATACTGATCCTAATGTCCTAGTGACTTGAACACATACGTCGTATGAAATGAGTGGCTTCCATATTAATCAACGCAACATTTCTGGATTTCTCATGTAGAGAAACTGACAAATACCCAGTTCCAATATCTCGACTATTTGGAGCCCACATATTCGTACCTCAGGTAACCCATATTAGTAGAACACACTTTCGTCCAAAAACACCTCGGGCTCGAAGTCGATTGGCAGCCCATAATAACTACAGACACACACAACAGTGGTCAAGTGCCAAGCGTTGTGTAATTAAGGTCAGAGTCAGTAGCGAAATTTGGGAGAAGCTTGAAATAGCCTGTCTGGACTATGAAGTTGCATGCTATCAATTTGCGGTAAAGCATTACGTCAACTCCGTCTACAAGCTAATGGGTATGGATAGCAGCCAAGCAGAATACTAAATTATCCCTTTCAATAAAGACTAAAAATGAAATAGTCCAACTGTAATACCTGTTCGGTTCATAGCTGCCATGACATCCAAAGGAAGCACGAGAGTTTAGATTCTCCCAGGTTGTCACGTCTAGGCAGGACCAGTAGATATGTCTGGGCTGGGTTCGAACCATGGCTCTTGCTGTCAGTAAGCTCGTGCCTTGACCACTGACCTGTCTCGAGTTCGAGATCACGAAAGATCTCCTTAATAAGGAGTTGACTATCCAGTCTGTAGCAGCAATCTCGTGGGCCAGATACCTTCGTTCTATCAGGTGAAAAATGTTTACATAATTTACCCGGACTATCCCCAGCGTGCGGATGAATAGTCGCAAAAACGCCCACTGTGTAGACACGGGTCTTAGCACCAACTTTGGTGCATGAACTTATCATGCGCAGACTGTACGCATCCATGAGTAATAAAATAACCAAAGGTCAAGATTACTGAAAATGGTTGTTCGGAATGCCACTCTAGTTCCAACCGAGCACCCCACAACCATGGCTGACGGCCGATAAGTGAGAATCAGAACCACGGTTTCCTCTGGATGCTACTTGGTCTTCCACTCGTCTCATATAAAACTTTGTCAAAGAACAAACACCTATCCCACGGACAATTACAACTTTTCATGACCAAAAAATTTCAACAAGAACGATCAAAACCCGAATGTTTCCACACAGAGACTACACTCTCCATAATAGAAACTCGAATGAAAATGGCGGTATGAGCCTGCGCCTGATCTATTTAAAACATGAAATGTTTACAACATCGTTGGTAGGATATATCAGTGAGGCAGTGGTGGAGGCTCATTGAGGCATCGAAGGGTAACCAGGAGCTGAAGCTGCTTGCACCTGCTGGGAGGCCCCATAAACACCGGTGGATTGGTTTGGACTACCACCTAGTTGTTGCTGCCATGCCTGTCTTTGTTGCCATTGTTGCCACTGTTGATTGTACTCATACTGAAAACAGGGTGAGGAGGTTAAATCGAGTGTTATAATGTTTGCGGTGGAAAACTAATTGAGAAACATGAACAATCGAAGGGTGAAAGGCTGCCCAAGACAATGCGGTAGTTCCCAGGGCGAAGAAACAGCTGATCTATGGTAGCTCAGACATGTGGAGTAACGCCCAAGGGGCAAGAGCGCGGTGATTGTAGGCAGAGCATCCTGGCCACAACGAACCAACGACTCTGTTCTCGACGGTGGAAACGCCTGGTCAAAGCAGTGGGTAATTTCACGCTAATGAAAAGGGACAAATCTAGGCACATAGGTGCCCTGTGCTTCTAGTTGTATTGTGATTAGCAAAGAAACTTTGCAAAATGATAGCCGATCTAAAAGTGCCGGTAGAACACAAAATGACAAAAAAGCCCGCTCTTCTCCCTCACTCAAATGAAATTCAGGAACTACAGGTAACTGACGAGAAGAGCATAAATTAAGGGTGAGCGACAATGTATACGCCCTCACAAAATTGATTTACCTGTTCGTGTGTGGCAGGTTGTCCTTGGACAGAGATCATTGAAGGTGCCACCCCATGCTGCTGTTGCATCATAGCAATAGAGGTGACCTGTGCAGCCTGTTGTTGTTGTTGTTGCCCCTGCCGCACTATCGAGTCCGCGTAGTCGTGCATGCCTTGGCGCCGATAATACTCAGCCCATGCAGCGCTGTAGTCTGGTTGCCCGGCGTATGGGTTGAAGGCCAGTGCAGACATCCCAGTCCCACCGTTGGTATTGTTCATGCCTCCAGAATCTGAAAACGAGGCTGGGTTGTAGTGATACTGTAATCGACGAGTGTTGGAAAATGGATCATATATATACTTCGTTGGACAGGACGACGAAGGGTTCAGACTCGCGGTCCAAACATCCGGAAACGGATTAAAACGTCAACTCGAATACTGTGGCGTTGAGCGAGACAAGACTGACAATAAAAAAACATTTTGGAGCTGAAGCCGGATACACCTGGACGGAAGTCTCAAACGACAGTCGGAGGAAACACCGAGTTGTACCTGCGAAATTTTGAGTGCAGTCGTTTAAGCTAATCAGTGTATAGTCAGGAGCTGAGGGCATACCTTTTACATAACTTTGTAGATGAAACAAATACAGAAAAATACAGTGAACGCATCCAGTGGTTGTGTGCCGTACTGGTGACAGGGACGTACAGTGAACCACTCTTCAAAAGATGGATCGCCCAAACAGTTTCGTCAGCTTGTCAGACTTCTCCTCCTGGAATGGAGATTTCCATTCGTGCTTGTGGAAATGCGTCTGCAGATTTTAACGGCCTGTGTTTTGACACCAAATTTATTCAGCTTGTCTTACTGCAACATACTGTTTCTCTGAACAATGACCACACATGGAAAAATGACCTAACTAGTTTAGCTCCGTGCGAGCACTGGTGCAAACCTATTGTGACCACCATTGAAAATCATCGTTCAGTTGTAGCACTCTTTCGGTGCTCAACTGCCATACCACCAGAAGGAAGCGCAAGGGCTGGGATACTGCCGGGTTGCCCAAGTCCTTAAAGAGGAAGTTGAGACACAGAGGTCCGGTTCGAACCACGAACCTTCCGGTCAGTAAATTCGCGCTCTAATCACTTGAGCTATCTTGTCCCCATTTAGGGTTGGTAGACATTCTCAAAAGATATCAATATCAGCCTAAAATCAAGGAAGCCGATTGAAATGCTCCTAATTGGGGAGGCGGAACTTACTTGGGGGTGCCTATCGAGGGGGGCTACGTATTCAGACACTAGTTGATGATAGTAGACTCGCGTGGCACAGGAAGTCAGTCAAATGACAGACCACTTGGAACTTTTCGATAGATTGGTTTTCATAAGCAGGTTATAAAAGCCAGGTCTATTGACAAACCGATATATAAACGGCTAGAGGAAATCATCAATGATGCTGTAGCCGAGTACTTAAGTTGGTCATTCGAAAACAAAACCACGAATCAAGACACCGACCAAAGCTAGACGAGCACACTGAGTTTTTGATATTTTATGCAGTACTCAACAACCAGGTTGTTAAGGAAAAACCGAAGCGTTGTACACTACAAAATGGAACCCTTTTTCAGTTTTTCTATTACGCCACGGACCGGACGTGCGCTAACCTGTTTGACACACTGGTGAATGCAAATGAACATGTCCGTGAGAGAAGTCACCGAATACCACTCAGGATGAACAACCTGACACTATGAATCTGACAATCACTTAAGAAAAGTTTAACTCCGAAAAATGGTTCACTCACCTGGTTGAGAGTAACCACTTTGACCCCAAGGACCGCAGGCAGAACCCACTGCTGTGGGACGACCGAAAATGCTTGCTCGCTCCGAGATCATTCTGTTAGATGATCGTTGTTGAAGAGCCACAACCCAGCGAGTGTGGATTCGCGCCCAAGGAATTTCAAGTATGGGCATTCACCAACAACAGCAAAAGATGCCAATAATAGAAAAATGAGTTTCAGGAATCGGGAAAGTGAATAGGATGAATAGAAAATAGAAAATTGTCATACCTCATTGCTTGGTCGATTTCCTGTCTGTTGCCACGGACATTGAATATCTTTATTGTGGGGTCTGGGGATGGTTCCTTCGATATCTCGACGTGTGCACCACTGACACGACAGATTTCCTTGATCGACTCGCCTCCCTTGCCAATCACTAGACCGGCTTTATCCGCAGGTACCGCATACTGTGTAGTTTCCTGACCATTGTACCCATACATATGTTCGCCGCGCTAAAAGTTAGGAAAAAGATTTTGAAATACCCAAGGTGGACCAATCAACTGTTCCAACCATCCTTTCGGTGCATAGCTGCCATGAAACTCAGAGGCACGAGTACTGAGATGCAGCCAGACTGTCCAAGCCTGGACAGTAGCAACCTGATAACTACGGATTTTCCGATTAGCCGGTCCGCACCTCGAAGGTACCACCGACCTTTCTCTGATTCATGTACGTTTAAAAAAGCATGACTACAATTTTTGGTCCTCTTCGTTTAACACCCAACGCTGCGTCATACACCTATTTCTCATGCTAGTTTATGACATATTCGGGTGAAATAAATCACCACAATACGGGTTATGCGCATCGATTAGCTTTGAATCGATGTTTTCCTAAAGATAACTCACTGCACTTTAATACAATAGTCAAATTCCCTCTCCAACACTAATGCATCGTGTCTAACGGCTGATAGGCGGTTCAAAAAATAGGCAAAACACGCGTGCAGTAGCTGTGTGATGACATAGCATGAACAATAACACCTGCAGTTAACCATGAAAACAACGATCATTAGCATCATTTTCTTAGCCATGAGCACAGGAAGGTGGAATTTCCTGTCACATAACAGAATCGGCCATGTAGATACAGAATGATAGATCATCCAAAGCTGAAGTAACATAAAAAAGGGCCTTAACCCGTAGGAACCACGCGGACGGCTTTCGGAAAACGACCACGATCAAGCCGTTTTATATTTACTGCATATTCAGTCGTGTGCTGATGGGATACAAAACTGATTGCTAGAATTTAGCGAAAACCCAGATCGCATCGAGACAGATCTTCGAGTAAACAAAAACATACTAGTATCTGAGCCAACAGGACTGAATATACTGACCGTGTGCGAAGCAGTAACAGATCGCCGGGAAGCCTGGTGCATTGCAGGATGCCCTTGGCTGTACAGAAGCTGGGAACAGAAACTCCAATGAATCCCAAGCGACGCTGCTGCTCCACAATAGCCCCCATTCTAGGAACCGCAATAAAGTAGTTTTATGTTGACACGAGTTGTCACCGCATGTGCACAGGTTGGCATCATTCTGCTCTATTACAGAGGACTCCATGACCAGCATTGGTCAGAAGCATCGTATTCTGGACATGCTAAAAATTCATTGAAGAATTTCAATACTCCAACCGTAGGACAAGCTTCGGTATGCTTTGCAGCACCAAACTGACGTAGACGCACCTAAAATTGACCGCGTTTGTCATTTAGCAACGCCCCCATGCAGCTTCTATGGGACTTATTTCTGTGCGGAATAAAGAGGTTTCTGGCGGAAAAAGCTGCAGTAAATTCGCTATGTTTGATCACGTCCCATTAGACTTGAATAGAGACAATCACACTCGATGACAGGTGCTATACAGATACTCAACGCAATCGAATATTCTAAAATGTCCCGATGGGCTACCTACCACATGAGGCTTGCATGTTAGTATGAGTATTCGGTTTCGTTCACCTATTTGTCCGCCTCATTTATAGATCATGTAGTGCGAACTGATGTTGCTAGATAAAGTATAATTATTAGCCGTAGTATGCATTCCAAAGTCCATTGTCTTGATTGTCCCAACCTGTCACTGTTCATCCTCCCCCGGGTCACTGCATTTCTTTCTTTAGGTCATTATTTTAAGGTACCAAACCGATGTGCAGTAAAGCGAAACGTGTTCATCTGTATTATTGAGTGCTCGAGCACTTCACTGGGAACGGCTGTTTGTTAGCGTGAAATTGTACGGACTTCGATAGCCGGTTTCACCGGTGGACTGAGCTAAACAGCATGACCGTACTAGCTACAGGTGGTACCAACGGAAGTGTTCGACAAACCCCTTGACAAACATCCGAATTACATGTTGGTTCGCGCCATGAGGATTCAGACGTCGATAAATGAAGTACGCAGCCGGATCCCTGCTGGAATCACAGTGCAAACTACCGAGCACATACCAGTAGATTAACTCCTACATGCACTTTTGGAGAACAGCGAACTGAAATCATGTGATATATAACGCAACTTCTGTCCAAAGAAGCCACCTTCAGAAGTGGCAACATTTTCCTCCAGTGGTGTCCCACTGTGACATGACTAACTATCAAGATTCTAACCACATGGTTACCGCAGTGGAATGGTGGACTTTCCGCTGCAACGAGTGGTTCAAGGCGCTTTTGTACTTCGCCTCGGCTGAAGTAAACGCTCCAGATTGCTGCAAAGTGATAAGCTTGTGTAAACGGCCGCAGCCATCTGAAGTGCTGTAGAGTCGGGTTTCTACGTCACTCAGCTAAACTTCAATAAGAACCAAAAGGATACATCTTATTACAGTAAAGTAAACAGGACCAGGAACTCAAAAAGTGCTGAGTTACCGTGCGTTGATCAAGCTTTGTACCAGCTCAATCATTCTTAATCTGAAACGCAACTGGAATACGCTCCGACGGGTGGTGTTATGTGCGCACCTCGTTTAATTCTATACCAAGCTGATGTAATGAGGGAGCCCGTATTGAGAGGCGCATATTGATGGAATCCCCACGACTGGTGACGAATCGTTTGTAAGCGAGTTGCCAAGCTCCGTAAACATACCAAAGCCATTTGACCAGCCAACATCCGTGCAACCGACATTTCGGTGTACTGCTTCAATCAGTTTCCAATTGCGTCTCAAAAAATAGCTTGTTTCAAACCAGCCCATCTTATAATTTTAGTAATGGACATTTTCTCCAAAAACGACAGAGGCACGAACATTCCAATCGTTAGGAAAGAGGTGGTAGATTACGGAGGGACGACCACATGGGATAGCATACAGGGATAGCCACTGTCAGTCTTATCACATCTAACATAGCAACCAGAGCTACAGAGTAGCGGATGGAATTCGTCGCGTGATCTCACCAATCAAAGTGGAAATTTTATCCGAACCAAGGAAGTCAACTTCTGAGTTTTACTCGTGCCCTGTTCTATGAGTTTCTTGCAGACGAGGACTGCAGATATAAAGCACCGCAGTCCTTCCATGGTTATTGTTCACTCAGTTGCAAGCTTATGCAATGCATCTAAAGCTCGTAGGGTAACGCCCACACCCCTAACGTATCATACAAAACTTCAGGTCAAAGGTGCATAACAGGGACTTTAACTTCCGCTGCTTCTTGAAGGCCACCGACTCATACTGTCTAAGACAGGACCACCGATGGAACTATATGGTACTCCACATCCACTCTCGCAATTCGCCTCATCAAAGAATATCAGGTCGGCTATAGTAGCACACCACAAACACCATATCCATAGTTTTTCGCAAAAGCTAAAAGCCTCACCAAAAGCTGCACAGGCGGTGCTAAATTTACGATCGCAATCCTGCATCACTGGCCACCATCAGGATAGTGCTTAGTTCTGTTCGTGTACCGAACAGAACTAAGCATCTCCACGGCAAGGCAGAAGGGATCGAAGGATGTTATGAAAAGCATGGGTGAACTTCGCCTCCCAAGACCAGGTCCTGTGCTCGGCTGGAGGCATTTGGAAAACAGGGCAGCTAACAAGTGGCAGTTTTGTTCACGCGGTAACCCTTCATCATCTGTCTGATAGAATGGGAAAGTAGGCACCTGTGCCTCATTTTTCTCAATTCTAGTACAGAACATTATTCAACCAGATACACATGGTTGTACAGCACTGGAGCACTGGAACTCTTCGCTGGCGCTGTCAGTGATGATGAAGATAATGAATTCCTCCAATTCTGAGGACTGAGACTAGGTTAACAGGATCAAGTAAACCGTCTCTTCTATCGCCTACATGAGCTCCAGATAAGACAGTGCTGCGTACGGCGCAAACTTAGCCACTGGAAGGTTCGTGGTTCGAAACCAAGCCTTGATTGTCGACTTCTTCTGTCTAGGCTTTGGAAATTTGACAGTATTTCATTTTTCGTGCATACTTCGGGTGACAAAGTAGCTAGCTACCGCAAGGCAAGCTGAACGAATTTTATTACCCCTATAAGTCGGTTTCAAATAAGCCACCAACCAATCTTTCGGCATCACTCCTTCCATTCATCGTTACAGCAGACCAGTTGAAGACTCAGCTACATCCACGGGAAAAAAGACCACATTGAGGAAAAGTAAATAGCAGCTTCTCAATGAATGACCACTCACGTGTCCATTTTGATGTATTTTAAAATTCTTCTGAAGGGATAACCTGCCACCAAACATTCATCAGGTGCTAGCTACGAGCGTCCGGTCCAATTAATGTAGTCAATTTTTGATGTGGGTTTGATGTTTAATCTCAGCCGGATGCAGGACGTGACCGACAAGTGCGAACATGTGGTTACGGGATATCAATCTATTTCAAAACGGTCATGTCATCAAAACTATGTTGCATCGACCCCTTAGGTTTCTGGTGTGCAGTAAAATGGTTAACAGAGGACATGGTAAGAAATACTCTGTATGTATTGGGAGTTAGTCAAAATGACACCATGGGGTTGACCAATAGCGAACAACTCGTATTAAACCAACAATTTGAGTCAGAAAGCACCGTTTTGAAGGGACTTTGCTGGATTGGATCCCAGTCAGATTGGAACAGTCCGGTTAGCCAGTTCTATCAAGCTCAATGCCTCTCGGCATAAAAAGCGGTGCCTGTTCGTAGTCTCGGCTTATGCCCTAACGGATTGCAGTTCTTATTGTAGGAAGGATACTTTCTATCGACAACTATACGGGCTTATTCATCAAAAAAATCACTGAGACTGATCCTGGTAGGCGATATGAATGCACAAGTTGGTCGTCTGAGATCCACGGAATCCCCGCACAGATAACGGAGACCGACTCTCTCAGTTGTGTGCTGACCATAAACTGTTTCTGGCAAGTATGAACCTTCAATATAAACGTCAATATCACATAACCTGGCGGCCACCTACTACAAATCAACCGTGGACCCAGTTGGACCACGTATCCACCAACCACCTGTAGAGAGTCACGGTTCAAGACTGTCATTTCTTCTAGGGCACACCACTTGATTCCGATGGC